ATGTACGATTTTATTAAAATTTGGAAGAATAACACGCGCGTGAATACATAAAAGTCAAGAAAGTCAAGAAAAGTTCAAGAAAATCTTAAGAAAATAGAGCAATAAAGTATTTTAAAAAATCATACTTTTTTTTTTAATTGGACGTAATAATCTTACATTAATTTTTAAGACTTAGCATTAAAAATCTCAAACAAAAATAAGCTTCTAATAAAAATTCCACTGAAATAAAATATATTTTTGCGCTCAGAATAACATGATAAACTAAAGTCGTTGACGAAGAAAGAACGCAAATGTTGAAGAAAAGGCGAAGATTAAAAAGAAGACGCATAAAGTTTTCGCACATGTTCTCTTTTGCTATCCGGTAAAGCGCTTAATATATATATATATATATATATATATATATATATATATATATGTATACAGTATCAGCGCACATGTACATGTGTCAAGAAACAGAGAACTTGTAACACGTGTTCATTTAATCGTAATATTATATCCGTATTATTATATCCGTAAAGAGATTTCCATTTTATTTAATTCGCTTTTTTTTCGATAATCTCGAGACAATGATCAATCCGCACTTTCAAATTCTCTCAAACCATGTTAACACTATAACAAGTTATTCCAATTAAAAATATATATAACAGAGATAGAGATACGTAAGAATTAATGGGATAAAAATGTTTGCTATTATTACACATTTAATACAATTACATTTGTTCAACAATACAATATACACATATCTCTGGGGAAATTGAACATATATGTAATTCATTAATTCATTAAATTTATTTGAATAAAAAAAGATGCATATAATTATGTGTAATACTTTATTTTATATATGATGTTCAGTAGCTATTATTCAAAAATTTGAAGTAATTGATGAATAATAATTAAAGCTTAATTACAGCTGAATATGAGGCTGTATTAGAAATATAGGAGCAAAAAACGAGTGAATTAAAACTGATTGCAATAGGGGCAAGATAATGAGCGCGAGAAATAAAATTATGCCTGTAAGGAAGGGATAAGGCAAGCAGACGAATGAATGAATCTCACAACTCACACGTGTTCTGCCTTGCTTATTTAATGCATCGTCTGATTCGACACGCATCGCTGACACATATCCGTTGTAATTGCGGAATACGAAATTCTCCCGATGAGACATTATTCGCATTGCGCCATTGACTTCGTTAACTTTGTACTCATTTCCTCTGATTGGTTTCAAGGAAAATGTAATGTCTCGAGCAGACAAATTCAGATAAATACGATTCCTTCTTTTTATTTTTTGTATTTTTTTTATAGGTTTTTTAAACAATAAAATATAGAAATATGCAACATGCGTAAAAGAATATATATATAATCAAAATGAATTATAAATTCATTCTTCAAATCTTTTTAATTGAACAAATGCTTGTAACTTGAAATTTAATAATCCATGTGTACAATAAATAAAAAGCAAACTATTTAAAGTATTAAAAGTTATTTCGAAATTTCTATAAATAAAAATTTTATACTGTTTATAAGATCAATTTTAAATTGCAAGCATTAATATCCTGCTCTTGATAGTCTTCTAGTCATATGTATGCATATACGGCTATTTTAATGGATCAAATAATGGATCAAATAATTTTCTCTTGGCGGTTGCATTTATCTTTTTCTTTTAAATATTTCAGATGACGCTTTCTCGTCGAAGAGAAAGGAGCAAAACGTCTCGAGCGAATTATTTGTCATTACGCAGCATATTAAGCGCCATATAAGAGTAGAAATATGCACGTAAGAAGAGAGAGAGATGCAGATTCGAATCGCGACTCGAAGATTTCGTCATCACGATGTACAACGGAATACTGTACGAGTCATGGATGGAGTCTTTCGATGCAACGTGGCATACTAATATGAAGATGAAAGCAGAGAGAAGCTGCAACAGGTCTGATTACCATCGAAAAGAAATTACGACAAAATTATTTCCGAAAATTATATTCGGATCTATTGATGTTTCATTAAATTTCATTTCTATCAAGATCAAGAAAAGATTTTAAAATATCCAAAACATTTAACGCAATCTTTCTTTATAGTTTTTGTAAATTTATTTTACCTTGAATTCGATAAATATATTTAACTATCTCTTAGAATAAAATAATTTTTAATATAGTTGGTAATTTCTTCAAACTTTCATGAAGTCTGTATTTAAATTTTAAAAAATTTTATTCTTTTAACAGATAAGAGCACGAAAAAATGTTTTCATTGACTACACATCAATTATATAAAAAAATAATTAAAAAAAAAAGTAAGCTGTTAGGAGACTATCGCAAGAAAACGTTAAAACTTCGCACGCTTCTTCTCAGAATCTCCTATTCCTCAGAAAAAGAATTAATATTCGTCGAGGCCACAAAATTAACCACAACGCCAAGTCAATTTTATTATGTCTCTCGACGAAACCTAATTATTTGTAGACTATATGATGAGTTATTACGTATTAACGATTCATGTTTAATATTTGCTCTTAATTAGATGCAATTATATATATCTGCATATAACTTCTTGTACAATATATACATTTTTACTGTCTTATCTGATAAAACGTTTAAATCGCAATCTTTTTTAAAGCTTGTACTTAAAGCAATACTCATATAATATAATAAAAAACGTATAATTAATCAGACTTTAATATCACGGCAAAACAGTTATAATTATTATTTATTTTGCTAAAATAATAAATAGATAACTATCTCGCGAGATGAAATCTTTTATAGCCATTCTTATTAACATCCTGATAATCCGATGCCTCGTCATATTCCTCAAAATAAGCAGCGGACTTATTTTCCTGTTATGACGAAGCAATTTAATCACGAAAAACAGTAATATCCATCACTCGATAATACTAATTAGAATCTACAAAATTATAACTCTTCTGAATGTTCTTATGTTCACATTATACTTTGTATCATTATAAGATAAGGAAAATAAAAGTTCGAGTAAAAAAAAAACTGGTTCTCGTATTCTTTTACATTTTCTTTGATCACATATTTTCATTAGCTGATTATATCCAGTTTAATGTTTCTTGAAGTACAGTTCGTAACTCTATCATGTTAATAAAAAAAAACTGGTTTCTATTGCTTATTAATTTTTTGATAAGATGTCTTTCATTCAGCTCATTATATCAGTTTATGTTTCTTTAATAACGTTCGTAACTCTATCTTTAATAGATGTTTATCTATTATATGTTTATATATATAATATCGTTGCCAACAAGAAAGTTTCTATTTTTAGAATCTTCATTGGATTATAAAATGAAAAAAAGAAAATGTCTTACATTCTCAAACATATGTCAAATAATACATATAATATATCATCGTTTCCAGTTTCTTTATTTAAGGATGTTTTGTACCTATTTTCAAAATATTGAGAATTTAATGAAAATTGTACAGAATGTCCTTACATATGTTATGCATAGAATCTTCAGTACAATTTTTAAATCGATTCACTAAAGCGAATTCTCAAGTTATAAGGATTTTATAATAATAAATTAAATTAAAAAATACATCTCTGCACTGTCTCAGCTAAGATCAAATTGTAATATTCCACACAGCTTCTTACTCAAAATACACCAAAAGTGGATATTTATCAATATTGATTTTCAGCTACTTTTTGCTGGGATTGTACATACAAAACATCCTTAAACGAAAACTCATGAAATTTGCGAGTCACATGCAAAATATCGTTGCAGAAGATGACTCTAGAGCCTAGAAAATAATCTATTCTGCGCGGTAAGAATTACACGAGCAAAATCTGAGGCGTCAGCTTATGTAAAATATTACTATTACGCTATCGGCGACGCGTGTAAAAGGACGCACGCGCCTGTTTAAAAGTCCTTGGATGTGGATTTTAAAAGGAGAATCCTCAGCAGAGAGAAGGCGTGACTGTCGTGTATTATCCCCGCAAGAGACCGCAAGGACCGCGCTCGCTTTCGCCGCGTCGACACGCCTGGCATGCGTTTAACTATCAACGATTTGCGATCCGGCAACTATTCCGCTTTCACGTTCCTCTCGAGTCCTCTGCCCGAGTTCCTCTCTATTGTTTACCGGATATTAAACGTCGCGTTATTATAACGCATGCACGTCAGACAGAGAAATCTGCGAAGGAGCGTGCATTAGCATCACTAATGTCAATGCTTTGCTTCTATTCGCATGAGTATTAACGAGTTGAGAATTGCATGCGTCTTAAATAAACACTTTATGCGATAATTTTCTGAATTATACAAAGAAGACATTTATGACTTTTGCCGTGTTTTCTCTCGTTGTTTTAGATAATAAATTAAAATAATTTGCGCACTGTTACTTAATTTAAAAACAAAGATAGAAATGATATGAAAAATTCGAAATAAGAGAAAAAATGAATATTAAAATTTTGTGAAAATAGCTACACAAATCTGTGAAATTAATACCTCGAAATTTTTACAAAATTGTATGACATTCGATTATACATATTTGTCTATAATTCATTATTTCTTCACCTCAGAAAAAAATTAAAAATAATAAAAATATTTTAAAAAAATTAATTAATTAATTAAACAAACTTTATCATTGTGGACAATCGAATGCCATATCAGTTTCGTAAAAATTCGCATTTCGGGTTAATTTCACAGATCTTACAACTATACAACATGTATAATCAAGATCTACTATAATGTAGAACGTGAAATACTATATGTAAGAAACAAACTCGTTTATGCTTATCATTAGTTCTTTTTTTTCTTCAGATAATAGTTCTCGCTAGCAAGTATTAAGTTACATTATATCGCAACTAAAATTACATAAGACAATTTGTTATGTGACACAAAAAAAGAGAAACACGACACAATTCAGTTCGTAAGACCGACAGTAATTTTCATGGGTCAACTTTCTTCTTGCAATAAAGTGGAACGTGGATTTCGTCAGAGAGACAAGAGATACACAATCACATGGAAGGGAATCAAGTACGAAGATACATAATATTTTACTTACGCCTCGCAATATGGCTGTTTGTTGAAACCTTTGTATGTTCGCATATTCAGGGTCATACCGCAGCCCTGGCACTTGAAACATTGCTTGTGCCATATCTGTAACAAGGAAACGATGTTATTAACATTCCATATCGATTTGTCAGTTTTACACAGTTGCGAAACAAACAGTACAGAAAGATGAAAAAAATAAAATAAAATAAAATATATAATACAGTTGTACATTTCGAATTTTGATTAATACAAAATGCATATTCATTATATGATTCACGATCTGATATTGTATATATGCAGCATATTTCATCTTTAATGCTTTCAACAATTACACTGGTAAATATTAAATAAATATTTTTTCTAATATAAAGAATTATCTTTAACGATCTTGTTATAAGTATATTCTATTTAGTTTTGCACATTTCTCACTTTTTCAAATTTGTAGTAAACACGTTCAGAAATAAAAATAATTTTATAATATAAAATTTAATCGGATTGCAATAAACATCGACATAAATAAACATCGACATAAATAATGTTTAACATTATTAACGATAATAATAGTAACGACAATAATAATTTGCATTTTTATTCGAATTGTATTATGAATTTTATCAATATCTTATAATATTATCAATATGAAAACAATACGATTTTTTAAATGAATAATCGCATGTTAATCTAACGTGGACAATTATCATCGTATTCTCGCCGATTAATCTTTTAATGAGATACATACAATTTAATCATTAAAAGTAATAATTGTCATGCTAATTATAAGAGATAAAAATATTATTATATTAGTAGTTTTTAATATAATAAAAAATAAATTTCGTTGAAAATTTCTCTCTATTATTAATCAATGCACGAAAACATTATTTGATCAAATTATTCACAGATCGTGAGAATTTTCAAATTGATATTAATAATTATGTATAATAAGGAATATATATATATATATATATATATATATATATATATATATCATAAAGTCAGTTTTGCGATCAAGATAAAATAATTAATAATACAAAACAAAAATATAGAAACAAAAATTAATTATTCTGCTCCGAGCAAAGATAAATGAAAAGAAAAAGATTTCCTAGCAATTTTGTCCTACAGATAGAGAAAGGATGATCGTGACTTCTTATTAGCCCTCAATAACTCCATAAATCACTAGTAATAACGTTTTGTTTCGAAAGATAATCATATGCTAATAATAATGCACTTCGGATTGATTCGCGAAGTTTACGAGCCGGTAAGTAAGAAATATAATTTTTTATCCGAGATATTATTAATATCCGAGATAAGATCCTGCAGACGAGTTAATGGTATATATTAAAAGTGCAATTATTATGATCTTTCTTGTTCTTAAAGACAAAAAGGCCGAGCGATATTTAGTTAAATCTCGAAGTGACTTTCAGCCTTGATGCATTGTACTCGATATGTTATTGATAAATAGATTCCATGGCATTCACATATTATGCAATACGAGCCAAATACATCTGCAATAATCTAACAACTGTGTGCAATCCTTTTATAATCTTATTTATAAATATTAAGCAATGTTAAAACGCTTCAAATAATACTAAACAATGTAAGACTATAAAAGCGTGTGGTAAGATTAGATTATCAGATGTATGGTAAGATTAGGTTTTATCTTTCTGATTTGTTCTGTGCAACTTTTAATCCTAGATTTAACAATATATATTCCATCAAAATTTTTCTAACGAGCTGAATATCAATACTGCATGATACTCGCGGCAAATTTTACATTTTATTTAATAATCAATATATCAAAATTCGATAAATATATTTTATATCATACATTAATGTTTTTTATTATATAAACTTGCAAATTTAGATATAATACAAAATTTTTATTTCTCAATTTTTTAGGATATTATAAAATCTTTTTTAATTTTATTATCATAATTATTTGTTCAAAACAGTATCAGAAAAAAATTAAAAAACTAAAATATTAGAATATTAATTGTTTAAATTTTTTACATTTTTGTAATTTTTCTATTATATTTTTTTCGATGTCTCTTTCACTACAATATTATTTTGAAGCATCTTTAATTGCTTAGTTTAGATTTAAATCGACATAAAGCTTTGTTATAAAATCTATTATAATATAATTACAACGTAATTCTTTGTTGCAAATATATGGATTTAGAGATCTGTCGTAATCAATTATTTTAACCGGACGAAGAACATATACATACGATTTTTATTCACCGTATCAACGGCTGTATATTAAGCTAATCTGAACAATCAAAGATCATCAGAGTTATATCGAGACAATCGCAAGGCCGTTCTCAGGAATCGACAAAGATTACACATCGCCAAAGAAAGAAATCACCGATTGTTCGATCTTGATGATCCAGACATAAAATGACTAATCATTACCAAAATAAGTCGACCTTGAAACTTCTTTATTAGGTCCTATGTTAGAAAATAAAAGAATTAATTTGAAGCTATTTTTTTTAACAATAATAAAATAAATTATAGTAATAAAAATATGTACAATAAAAATATGTAATGAAAATTGTGTAATGTTTAAGAATTTCGGAGAAATCACTTCGATTTGTCAGTTTTACACAGCGAGCTGTTTGCGATTGTAAAATGTAATGGAAGCATAACTAGTGAAAGATATTCACTAGTTATACTTCCATTACATTTTACAATCGCAAACAGCTCGCAATTTTCTCATAGGATTTCCTCTCTTGCAAAATAGCAAACAGGAAGCTGAAAGGCACAGCGCAACATGTTTTAACGATCCTTTCAAAAGACGCATATAAGAGAACAATCGCGGGAGCAAAGTGAATCCATAAAACGATCTCATGAGAGAACTCTAAATTAGACTTCATATAAATAACAATAGTCATTGGACATTTTTCTCATGTTTTTTGAAAAATTATCTGAAAAAGACATATGCCATAGATACATCAATATACAAATAATTCTTTATATTAAAATAACCTCAGTTAATCAATTATGCAATAATCGAACTTCAGCATTTATCTGATTTTAAAGAACCGGAATATAATCGACAAATAAATGCGCCTTTAATCGTGTCAATATATTGCAACATCAAAACGTTGCAAGGAGAACAGAGAGTTTCACTGGACAAAACTCTTGCTCTTAATTTCAGAAAGTATCGGCGAATAGCCGTGTATTAAATAAAACATCGGAGGAATTTCTTTTTTTCATGAAGCACGGCACGAATTGATTTCTAGACGGTGCGTAGACCAGGTCACCAATGTCAATTCATGAAACGATGCCGGAATGCGGTCGGTGATGAATGCAGCGGTACTTCATTCTTATAATGCAATCGTAGCAAAACATATATATATTGCGATTGTATTATTAAATGTACTGTATTATTAAACTGGAATGCTTGTAATTAGAATAATTTCATGTTTTATCGTTCGTTTATACGATGCAAATAAGTTTTAGCAACAATATACAAAAAAATACAATTTATGAAGAATTTATGAAGAAATTAAATGTTACTTGGAAATTTATAAATATTCTTATAAGACGAAGCAAATTATTATTAAATGAAATTTATTTCAATAATTTTTGTTTAGAAAAAGAATATGCGAGGCGCGAAAATAGATTTTTGTCTAAAAATTCAAGAAGAATAGTGTTTAAATCAGAACTGTCATCAACGGAGAAAGTTCAGTTACATAGTGAATTGTCGAGTAAGTGGCAGTCGGTAGAACAATGACAATCGGATGATGATCTTAGATAACCTTTCTAACGAGCTAAATATCAGACGTTAGGTTTATAGCAGAAATATGAGTATAAATTACACTATTTAATATAATTGATAACAATTGTAATCATTATAATTGAATTAAACACAAAAATATTCCATTCCACTTGGAATAAAGCTAAATGCATAAAGAATAAAAAATTATATCAATTGTTTATATCAATTATTTTAAAAAATTATTCGAATATCGCATATTTTCATAAACAATCAGAATCAATCTAAAAGATACTAATTTAACAAAAAAAATGTTTAATTTATGATCATAAATTAAAATAAAAAATTGAAATACACGTTATTTAAAAACACACATCGTGATGTTACTATGTATATTAAAATTAAATCATGCGTCCACACACATTTACAAAAAACAAGATTATTATATTGAATGAAGGATAATCCTGTTTTTGTCGTATGTTTAGGAAATAATACATAGAGAATTCTGTATATAATCATTATATTTACATCTTTGCAATCAAATGAGAAACAACCGGATGCTACACCGCATCGTTGGCATAGCAGGAATTTAATGACTGAAAACCAATGGATCTATAAAAGTGAGAGTCACTAATCGGATTACAGATAATTAAACGCAAAGAGCATTATGATATAATGAATAAATAGAAAATCAAATGCTTGTTGGACAACAATATCATAAGTAATATAAAATATATTCAGAATATTATCATTTTTTTATCGAGAATGTGAATAAACCGATATATATAATTCCATACAAAATTTGACTCTGTCAAGAAATACACACATATGTTATCCATCGAATAATTTGTCGCAATTTTCCTTAAACAATAAGAAAGCAATAGATTAAAATCGACCTTTCTCTCGCCTGTTATAATCTATATCTATATGTACAACAAATTATCGTCAGAGAATTTGACTAAATAATGACGATTGCATTAAATATATATACATTTCCATTAATAAAATTAAAAATTTAAATCTCCGAAATGTCTCCACACACAAAAATTTTGTTTAATTAATATTTTATATATATTAAAGAACCGCAATTTTAATTTGATGTATTTCTCCCTACAGATAATAATATATATTGATAATCAAAGTGATAATTAGTTTTTAATCAAATATTCTGTGTATATATATGTATGTTAATAATATGCATACATAAATACATACATACATATGATAAGTTAAAGTTGAAGTAAATTTAAAAGTGATATTGAAATTGCAGAATTTTTAATAATCTCAAAAGAATATATTTCTTTTAAAAAAGTAATAAGATATGTTAACAAATATATTAAAAACACTAGCCCAAAAGATCAAGCTTGAGATAATAACAATTATTTACAAT